AAAAAAAAAAAAAAAAAAAAAAACGAAAGATGGTAATATTAGGGGAAGGAAGGTGAGGGATATATGGAAACTGTATTATTTTTTCAACTTTTCTGTAAGTCTAAAATGAATTCAAAGTTAAAACAATTTTTAAAGGTATAAAGAATGATTGAAGAGAGTGGGAATGGGCTATTGCTATGAGCCAGCTAGGCCATGCAGACTGGATGTGCCTTGCTGGAAGAGTGAGGAGGGGCTGGGGGTGGTGAGGGTGTAGACTGATGCATGAGTGTGGGCGTGCCTTCTGTCTTGGCCAGCATCTGCAAGGATTCTCTGTCTTTCTTTCTTTCTGCCATGCAGTCTCATTCCTTTGGCTCTTTTAGCAGCACCCCTCTCTTACACTTTCATACCCTCAAAGCACAGCTTTTCTAATTGGCTATATCCCAGGGACAGTTCTGCTTATAGTTAATCTGCAGCTTAACCACAATGTTTCCTACTAGGCAGAGCCACAGGAAAAGTCGCTCTTCCTTCACTGAACTTCACCACACTTGCCCAACTCCAGTCTTTAACCTCAGTGATCCCTCACCCTGGGCTGGGAGGGTGTTGGGTAAAGAAAGCAAGGGTCAATGAAAGCTTTTAAAATTATTCCCCTCTGCTTCTGAGACAACCAGCAGACACTTCTTGTTCCTTAAGCAAGGTCACTAGCCCCTCAAAAGGCCTCAATCCCCAACTTCCATATCCTCAGTTACACACAGAGAAGCCTAATCATTTCTACCTCAAGCTCACCAGCCCTGGCTCCTCCCAGAGGAGTTGTCCTGGACTAAAGCTTCTGTAGCCTAACCCAGACTGACCCCATCCAAGTCTCCAGCCCAGGAGCTTTGTGAAACCAGTGTGCCCAGTGATTTTTCTGGCAGGGGACCTCTGTTACAGGCTGGCAGAACTTCTGCAAGCAGCAGCATCACACCCACCTTAACTGCTCTCTCGTCTGGAATCCTCTCAATTTCAATCATGTTCCGGTCACAGAGCTGCCAGCAGTTTGGTGACAGAATAACATCATTTATCTGAGCCATATTCTGTGCAAGGCGCACATCATCTACTGGCTGACCAATCACCAGAAAGTGGTTTCGTGTTTCATCTCCAAAGACCAGTATGCTGATGTGGCCAGCAGCCAGTCCTGGCAAGAAGGCAAGGAATAGGTTTGCGGGAGAAGTTCTGTATTATTTCCCAGCAGCACAGGTTCTTGGAAAAAGCATAATCTTGGTGGGACTATACTATCTCAGAGCAAAATCTCGCTTCTAAAACTTTACATGGGAATTATGGAATACCTCTTTCGGGCTTGGACCTTCCAAAACTCCCCTTCTGCCAAAGCTAGAAAGTTCTGCCACTAATTTTTGCTTTTCTGTGACATTTATCTCCCTACGTGGTCCTACCAGTCCCCAAAGTTATTTTACCTTTTCTTCCATTATGTATACTTAAGGGCAACAGGGAATACCTTTAATAATTCTTATTTTGGGAGAATATGCATTTTAGCAGAGATTGAAGTTGTAACTAAAAAAAATCCCTTAGGGTTGAATTTTAGATGACAGAGGGTGGGGGAAAAGAAGTAGGCATTTGACAGTTACACATCCCATCTCAACGACAGCTTCTCTAATTGTTTTTAAGTTGGCAAATGAAGGTTTTGGTATCTGAATCATAGAAGACCAATGTTGTATAATATGACATGTAAGCAAAATATATGTATAAATGAACCATAAATGACACACATTCCTTTTAAATGACTGTAATACAATCAAAGTTTGTGTTTTCTCTTTGCTCTCTGCTGTGCTGATTTGTCAGGGCTGATTTCCCCCGATACTACCTACAGTTTGTTTTCTATCTGAAACACACTAATACTTGGACTTACTCAAAAAAAAGGTGCTGGGAGGCCCAGGTGCCGTGGCTCATACCTGTAATCCCAGCACTTTGGGAGGCCAAGGCGGGCAGATCACCAGGGCAGGAGTT